ATGATTAGATGGTGAAATATCTTGCAAGTTTGTCAGATATATAGCTATGATGTGGAGATATCCAATAGAACAGAGACGGACTCATCGAGAGACAAAAAAACGCAAGTAATATAACAGAACAGACACATATAACAACAGACAATATAACAGAACAGACACTTAACCGAAGGCAATACAAAGTAATCAGGTCTGATTCAGTTGACGGCCAAACGAGTCGTAGAGACGGACGAGCGTTACTTATTAGTTAACTCTTCGTGGAAGGAGAAAATATATGATACAGTGTATATACTGATGACAGTAAGCACACATAAGAAAATATAGATATAAAAGAGTATCTAAATTAGAACTATTTTCATACGCATCTCCTGTAAGAAGCTAATGATTTGTTGAGTGATACTTTCTTTCTGTTCTCTATTGTATTTTTTTATCATACTCCATTCATACAAAAATATTCGGCTTAGTTCTGTCGTATACACGACGGCGATCGAACGGCGATCGAATATATAAAAAAATATAAAGAGATGGTGTTCCATGCATTATAAATTGCAACAGTCATAATTTATCAAAGTAAGAATTAACCGGATATATTTCCCATAAAAACTGGTTCTACCCTTTTTGGATCACATCTCAGAATTGTGCTTACGAGGGAACCTACTTAGATGTTCAACCATAGTTCTTCTTTCTAATGAAAGTTCTTTCATGATTTGATAGACATGACTCCCGAATCATGTCTCAGTGTCGATGAACACGTCTGTGCTCAGTACATGCGTCAACTTTTTTTCCAACACTCTGCTGCTTCTCGCCATTCGTTATTTGACTTTTCTTATTGCCATTTTTGTACGAGCAGAACGTTCTCAACTTCCTGGTATCGATAGATGAATATAGAGACGCAATGGTGACGGTAATTGGCTCAGCGACAACGAGTATGAACTCGATAATCGTTTCAACGGAAACTCGTATGAATCGATAACCGTTTTAAAAAAGACTTTTGCAGCGCTTTTAGAGCTATTGTCTTTCACCTGATATCATGATCCTTTAAAAGCGCTTCTAACACTTCTTCGACACTTTTTTTGCTTATCTAGAAACATTTTTAAGGATTTCACACTGTTATAAGTATAAAGCATGACGTTGCTCTGCCGATACAACGAATTACTCTTACTATCCTCTCGATCGGTTCCAATAACAATATACTCTCGCCTTACAATAGTGCAGAAAACTCGTGATGAAATCTGATTAGCTAAGACCTACTTCGTGTCGACTAATCAGGTTTCAGCGGCTGTCTTTTTCGCCATCTTCAAAGCAAACACACTGTTATTCGAGCGAATCAGAAGGTTCGTAGTCCTCTCCTTATATATACCATGTTTTGTCCTCAAATAGTGGGAAAAACCATTGTTGCAGTCTGGTTGGTCGAGATGAAATAGGTCCTAGTTAACTAGATTATAGTGACATTTTTGCAGCTGTTATAAGAACGAAACGTATTTGTTATTCGAGTTGATGGAAGGGCTGATAGAGGTGATTTTTCGTATAGTCCGAACAGCAGTGCTTTTCTTCCTTAAATGGTACTGGAAACGATTGCTGATATTGAATTGATTGAATGAATAAGGTAGAATCACAGGTTCTTTGATGGCGACAAGTTTTGATCCAACTTCATAGAGTATGATTATTTTTGAGAAACAGCCTTCCCCAGATGAAATCTGAGCGTCGTAGTTTTTATGCTACTAATATCGGATTTTTAAAAAAAATGTCTGCTACCGTTTCTGAATAACTTTCGATCGTTTATAGCTATCTAACTCGGTTTTCGTCGTTAGAAAGAGCGACTCATGGAGCTATATATCCAAATAGAATTCATATGGCTCGAAGAAGTTTTTCATAACTGCTCTCGGATTGACAAGTTTTTCATCGCCTATTTTCATAAGTTTTCACAGTAACCTATGCTCAAATTACACTAAAATATAACCTGAAAAACCTTTGTATCCTTAGTAAAATTTTGAGATCTTTCTATCATTTTCTGGAAAGAAAACAAGTTTAAGAGATGAAAATTTCACCAAGAATACAAGATTTCTTCAGGCTATATTTTAGTGTAATTTGAGCCTAGGTTACTGCGAAAACTTATGAAAATAGGCGATGAAAAACTTGTCAGTTTGAGAGCAGTCATGAAAAACTTCTTTGAGTCATATGAACTTTATATAGATAGGGTTGACCAATCTGGCCAGATAGCCCAATTAGTGTATTGGACATACGTCTTATTTAATAGACCGAAATATATGATTTTTTTACCAGTTACAGTACCCATGTAACGGTAGTCAACCGCCAAAAACAAGGCATTCGTATTGTGTTAGAAACTGAAATAACTTTGTCTCTTAGCAAAACCTGTTCGCAATACTAAAAGGCTTTCTACAAACACTCAAGATTTTCCTAAGACATACCGTTACTTTGGTTTCTAACACAATACGAATGCCTTGTTCTTAACAGATAACTAGCGTCACATGAGTGCTATAACTGGTAAAAAAAATCGTACGTGTTTGATATATTAAAGTAGACGTATGTATAAAACAGCAATTCGGATATCCGGTCATACTGGCCAATCCCAGATATACCATCGCATGGGTCGCTCTTTCTATCGTCGAAAACCGAGTTCGATAGCTGTAAGCGATCGAAAGTTATTTGGAAACGGTGACAGGCATTTTTTTAAAAATCCGAGATTAGTTATTTGGTAATGTAACGGTAACTTCTCTACCTTAGTTGAAACTGTCATCATTAAAACAGTTACCCTTTCCGACCAGTGAACCGATAATGATACACTGCCGAATGATCGTCATATTTGCGTCTCTAAGGATCAAACTCTCTGGTATAGAGACTCCTACACATACTCATTGCATCCATTCTACTTTTAGATGGCAGAGAGTAAAGAACAAACGATGAAATTCAATCATAGTTTATCAAATACTCACGAAGATAATCAAATTGAAAAATATTTCAATTTGGAAAATAATATTGAAACAATAAATCATATGGGTCCTTATGGTCATATAGCATTACATATTGCTAATTCTCACGGAGATAACGAAGATGTTCAATTCTTCTTTACAAATAGTGCATTCGTATCATTGGAAAATATTTCATCTCAATTAACATTGTATGATAAATCGAAAAGAGATGAAATAAAAAAATTGATCTTAAAAACTTGTAACTTACATGGTTTTTCGAAAGAAATTCCAGATAATATTTATATTATTTGGTCAATAAATGGTGATAATTTAATAAAGAAGGGTAAAGAATTTTGTGAACAAATCGATTTATACAAAACTTATGATAATCAACATCATTTAATAACAAAATTATTGATTGAAATAGTTGAATATTATTTAAATGAATATTTAATTAAAGAAGAACGTTTTTCAGGAGATAAAATAAAGCAAATCAAAGATTGTTTTAACAACGCCATTGAAGAAAAAAATTACTTAAAATATTTTATTAAAGCTTATACATTTACTAATAATTTTCATCATGTTTTAAATAAACATCTGGCATTGTATATAGTAGATTATTTTGATCCATCATCCTATTCTTCCATACCAGCAGAATATCGTCTAATTAATTGTTTAGTACATATTGTTACATTAGTAAGGAATGATCCCTATAGAAATAAATATAAATATAAAGGTATTACTTATCGTGGTTTATTAATGAAACAAAATGATTTAAAACCCTATCGTATTGGTAATTATATACTAAATAAATCATTTATGTCAACATCGAAAGCTCTTTCAATTGCTCAATTATATGCTAATAATAGCCCAGACAGTATTTTAGGAGGAACCTCAAATTATCATGATCGAGCAGAAGTATCATCTGTTATCTTAAAATTTACAATCAAACAGGATGAAACAGCTGTTGATATTAAACACATGTCAATGGTACCCGATGAAGAAGAAGTGTTAATATTACCGTTTTCAGTATTTCGGGTGAAAGATACAATTGAAAATGGTGGAGATACGGATTCGCCAGGATTAATTGAAATTGATTTAGAAGAATGCGAGGATAGTGAGCAAATCAATACTGAAAAACCGAAAAGTGAGTAGGATCAGCAAAATAAATCGCTGTCATTCATATAGAGTTCTGTACTACAAAGAATACAGCTGATCTACGCGAATTACAGCTGATGATCGGCTTTATTTTCCAGACGCGTTTTAGCTACCGTCCAGCATTAAAACATGCTGCTGGATAAAGTTCAGTGCTCAATTTTCCAAAATTCGACGAATAATTATTTCGATCTATGCAGACTGTTGAGAATAGCTATGTTTCTAAAAGCAACCGTAGAATAATAACTCATAAAAGTTGTTTATAAATTAAATATTTAATACTGTAACAGTTTTCGAAGTCTAAGTGGCTTGATGAACCTCGGAAAGGTTAGTTTGAAAGAGATGGTCTTGCACAGGGACATAAGACTTTCCTGCTATATGAATGTAATATTTGGTATATCTTGTTTCTTTACTGATTAGATTCTGTGCGAAGTTGGGTGTTTCTGTAGGTTTTTTATGCCTGTGAGCCATCGTGAGCAAACAGAGTTTCGATCTTACGAGGGAACCGCCCAGAGTGATTCACCGCTTTAGAGCTCAAATTTTCGGTATATCAAGGTATAGACTAAACCCCCCCCCCAAAATAGACGGCCACCCTATATTAGAAGGCCACCCCCTGTATAAGGCCATGTCCGAGCA